AAAAATAATAATCCCAGGTATGGCAACTCAAGTCTGTAATAATTCTAGCCACTTGAGAAGTGGTCAGGGGATTTTGGCTCTAACTCAGCCCAAGCATAAAAGTTTGAGTCTATCTCAGCTAATAGCTGGACATAGCACTGCGTACGTGCTTATCTAGGGGAAGGCAGATGGAAACCTAGGCAGGTCCAGGCATAAAGTAAGAACCTACCTTGAGAATAACAAAGCAAAAAGGACCTGGAGGTGTGGCTCAGGTGAGTACAGTGCCACCAAAATCAATAAATAGATAATAAAAACTTCATAATTCACGAGTTGTTCTGAGTTATTTACAATTGCAATGCAGATCCCTAGCCTAGAAGAACTGAGTCCAGATTAAAGACTTAAGCTTTCTTTTTTTAATTTTACATTTCTATTATTAAAAAAAAGGTAATTTGACTTAAGCATGTTTGCTGGCAGAGGAATAAGAATTGGTAATAAGAACGAAGGGGGAACAGGCCCGCCATTTCCCTGGGGAACTGGAATCCATTTTCACTAGGAAAATGCAAGAATGCATTGGTGCAGGAATGGAATGGAGCACTCATTTTTCTTTTTTTTTTCTTTTTGCCAGTCCTGGGGCTTGAACTCAGGGTGTGAGCGCTGTCCCTGAGTTTCTTTTTTGCTCAAGGCTAGCGTTCTACCAATGTGAGCCACAACACCACTTCTGGCTTTTTCTGTTTGGGTGGTATTGAGGAATCCAACCCAGGGCTTCATGCATGATGGACAAACATGCTACCACTGAGCCACATTCCCAGCCCTGGGTGTTCATTCTGAGCCTGACCTGTGACCACTGGTCTGTGTGCAAACCATTATCTCCCAAACTCTACTCTCACACTGGAGTAGAAGAATTGTTTGGTGCTCAGAAGCTATGGGGAGGTGAGAGGCAGGGAGGTAGAAGAAGGAAAAAAAGATCAAAACTTCCCTGTAAGGCGATCCCTGCATGAACTGTGAGGTCAGGGTAGAGGAGCAAGGACAGGCTTAGAGTGTTAAAGGTGAAGTTAAGATGGCAGAAAAAACAACCTTAGGGGCCTCCCTAATTGCTAAGTGAAAGGCCTGGAGAAGAGTCTAAACAAGTGGGTTTTGAGATTGTTTCCTAACACCTTCAGGGCTTCCACAATAGCTATGCATCCCAGTGAGGTGAGCTGAGCCCCAGAGCTGGCCAGCCCGGCCCTTGTAGCACTAGTTTACCAAGACTCAAGCCAGGAATGTTTTGCCTTCTGGTCCTGCACTGAGCACTCTTGAGAAACTGAAAGTCTGGCAGGAAGTAGTGGCGCACACCTGTAATCTCAGCTAACCACAGGGCAAGATAGGAGAATCCCAGTCTGAAGCTAGCCCCAGGCGAAAAGCATGATGCCTGACTGAAAAAATAAGTAAAGCAATAAAACACTAGGAGGCCGTGACTCAAGTGGTAAGGGCACCCTGGGTTCAAACTGCAGCATAGCTAAAAAACAAAAACAACCAAACAAAAACCCCAGAAGTCTGACCATGCCAGTTTCTGGGAAACATGCATTTATTATTAAAAAAAAAAAAATCTTGCCTGGTGCCTGTGGCTCATGCCTATAATCCTAGCTACTCAGGAGGCTGAGATCTGAGGATCCCGGTTCAAAGCCAGCCTGGGCAAGGAAAGTCCATGAGACTCATCTCCAATTAGCCACCAGAAAACTGGAAGTGGTGCTGTGGCTCAAGTGGTAGTGTTCTCCTTGAGCTGAAGAGCTCAAGGACAGCGCCCAGGCCCAGAGTTTAAGCCCCATAAGCAAATAAATAAATACTTTATGGTATTCATTTGCACTGGCAAACTATTATTGTGAATGTGTGTGTGTGTGTGTGTGTGTGTGTGTGTGTGTCAGGGGAGAGATACAAGAGCTTAAACTCAGGACCAGGGTGATGTTCCTTAGTGCTTGTTTTTGCTTTTCCCTCTCAAGGTTGGTGCTCAACCACTTGTGCCATACCTCCACATCCAGCTTTTGCTGGTTAATTGGAGATAAGAGACTTTCCTGCCCAGCGAGCTTTGAACTGTGACCTTCAGCTTTCAGCCTTCTGAGTAGCTAGGATTACAAGTGTGTGCACAGTGCCTGGCTCAAGCTCTTATCTTGACTTCCATTTCAACAAGCTGCTTCAGAGTTCTCCCTGCTGTTGCTCCAGGTTCTGGAAGGGCAGCAATCTTGTCTGCATGTCCACAGACATTTCCCCAGCATGTGCAGAATAGAGTGATCTAAGTGGGATCGTCAATATTTGTCTAAAGAATTACCTGTGACTTAAACCATATATGAGGACAAACCAGCTTCACATGGCAGACAATAAAACACAGGGAACATTACTTCACAACTGTCCTCAAAAGATGACACATTGAAAGGGATTTATTTGAATGAATTAAATGACTGACATAGAATGGCTCTAAAATGACCTAAAATTTAGGTTGGCCTATTTAATCTTTCCTTCTGGACAAGTACTGGTCTTGGCAGCTACAGCTCAGCCCAAACCTTCTATTATCTTGGAATCCAGTCCTCTCTGAGAAGCACTAAGTTAGAAATGACAGTATCATTTCTTGCTTTTTTCACCCAACTATACAAAATAACACACCACACAATTTCTGTAGATATTTTTCAAGGTTTTTTTTTATTGCAAACCCAAATTGGTTTATCACACACAAAAAAAGTTGTGTGGTAGGGAGGGAATTTACACTTTATAACCATGTTAATTACAGTACATTAAAATGGAGGGTGACATTACACATAAGCCTGTAAGTTTAAATATACTAGTGTTATATAACTCAATATACACAATTTCTTTACAATACATACAATTATCAGGAATGCAAAAAAAAAAACACCTATAAATAATGCCCATTTTAACAATGAAAACACCACGGCTTTGACCGACAACTGGGCATTGGTCCATAAAAACCCTTTCTAAAAATAGAAATATTTGTAGCAGCAATGCTTTCTTTAAGCATCTGAATACAAGTCAACGCAAGACCATTTCAATAAGTTTTAGTTATTAAGTATATATTACAAAAAAAAAGAACAGTCTACACATAAATCTTCCACATATGGAAGAAACAAACAATGTCCCACATTGTAGTAGTGTCCTGCAAGTGTCACATTGATACTTGTTTATAACAAAACCCATCTGTGTGTGATCAGGCATACCACACTCACACTCCTGTTCACACAGTCAGTCCACAAGGGGAAAAAAACAAAACTGAAATACACAATAGGAAAAGCTTTGGAGCTAACACGATCTCATCAGAAAAGGCACATTGCAGAATATTCCTTATCACTGCCCAACAGACCTTAGACGGGCGTCTTCCTTCCCATCAAACTACTGCACCTGTCTAAGGCGGCCTTCGAATGCTCACTTCCAATATAGCACCATGTTGGAAGAGTGAAAGCCAAACAGCTCAGGAGCTCACCGAGAAGATGTGCTCTTGAAAAAGCTTCCAGCAAACTGCAACAAGGACTGCCTAACCTCCAGACATGTGCAAATTCTCTTTTAAGATGTCCTGTCAGCTGGCAGTGCTGCCCAAAGGCTAACTGAAACATTGAAAAACGCAGGTCAAGATCCTTCCAGTCCACCCCCGAGGCCGATCAGAGGAAGGAATCCACTGGCGGAGCGTAGGAAAAGCCCAGGAAGGCCTCGGCAGCCTCCTTGACACTAGCTGTGATGAGGATGCTATCTGGGGTTCTGCCGATGGAGCTGGGGACCGGCTCCTCGGTGAACTCGGGGTCAAAGTGCCGCAGGTCACTGGGTCCACTCTGAGACAGGAAAGGGGACACACATTCAGCACGGAAAATGCACCATGAAACCTTAGATTTTACCCCCTGAGAGTGTAGACGGCAACTCCCATAATCCCTCCCCGCAAGGCCACAAACACGTTAGGATGAGGAGGATGCTTGCTGTCTGTTGGTATCTTGGAGATGGGGGTCTTTTTTATGTAGCCCCAGGCTGTTAAAACTTTTGATCCCCCCCGCCCCTGCCCCTGCCTCAGTTCAGATTATAAGCATGAACTATAACTGTCTCCACCTGGCTCTGTCTCATGGTACTTAAATCTCATGGAGATTTAATAATGAAAAAACAAACAAACTGTTTTGAAAATTTTCATGAGCTGTGTTGGGATAATTTTTTTCCCTGGCAGACATAATAAGTTTATAATTTACTACTCAAAGTAAATTTGCTTCTTGATAGATTATACAGATAGATGTTATTACCCACCCAACAATTCTGACTTAAAAAAAAAAAGATCTTTGGACCTCACTGTCCTTAGCCAAAGAGATACTCACCACATTTGGGTTAAAAGGGGGAGTAATCTTCTTATTAATGAGATCATCCCAGTTAATGAGCGAGAAGAAGATGTGATTCTTAATCTCCATCTGTGAAGAAAAAAACTCAAGGTTAATTTACCTAGGCAAAAGAATTCAATAAAGCTATGACATGTGGAGAACTACCAGTGAGGCCCAGGAAAACAGGAAAATGACTCACAAAGTCATTCTGGGCACCGAGTCTCTTCGTCCTGTCCTTCTGCAGAAGACCCTCCAGAAGATGTCTGGCGGAATTCGTGATATTTGGTTTCAACTGGAGCGGTTTGTTCAGAATGTTGTCGTACATCTCTGCTGTGTTTCGGCTGTAGAAAGGAGGCTGGAAAAGAAGAGCAGGGATTACTTCATATTTAATTGGAAGATGTTAGTATGCATTACCATCAGACAGAACTAGAGGGTACTAAAACGACTAGGAGTTTTTTAACTATCAAAGGCAGTTATGAAATGACTAGCACATGTTATTTACTTTTTAAGAGCCAGCATGCTGGCTTTGGCCAGGGAACTAGTGTAGAGGGTCACAGAGGCAGTGTTCCATCCTTCCTTCCCATGTCCTACTCACCAGGCCATATAGCATCTCGTACAAGACAGCCCCCAGGCACCACCAGTCCACTGTCCTGTCATATGGCTGCTTATGAAGCACTTCAGGGGCGAGATACTGAAAGACAGAAGAGGCAAGCAGAGTTTAGAACATATGCAACCAGGTAATCCAAGGCCAGACATGAGAACCCAGGGCTAACTTCACACCAGACATTTCAAGCTGACTGACATCGCCCCCTCAACTCCCCATTGTATCCTGACATTAAAGAAGCAACTTGGTGCCGATAAATATTTCATTTAGGGATTCAGATATCTCACATAGCAGGGCTTTACAAACAGCTAGTGTTAATGAAACGGAATTTTTGTGCTTCTTTTTTTCTTTTGTCCTTAAAAGCATTAATGTATCTTTTCCCTAGAAAGGCAGGGGAGACGAGGCACCAAATCAGATCAAAAGCTCCTACCTCAGGTGTGCCGCAGAATGTGGATGTTGTGCCATTGTGTTCAATGTTCTCTTTGCAAAGTCCAAAGTCAGTAAGGACAATATGTCCCTGTGAATCTAGCAGAATGTTCTCTGGTTTTAAGTCTCTGTGAAAGAAAAAAAAGGGGAGGTTGTTTAGGTTAATTTCACTGCACAAGAAATCCTCTGTGAAGATGAATGCTAAGGATATTAGAAGCAGTTTACATTCATTGTATTGAGAATACAGTACAATGAACAGAGGGCCCTTGTTCTATTAATCTGTCCTGTATTAGGCACAATCTCTCCTAGTTGGCTGATTTATGCAGTCAAGACAGCTCCCGTAGTGGGGAAATCAGGTTTTAGGTGGGCAAAGTGCACGCATGCGCACACACATACACGCACGCGCACACACACACACATTATCTGAAGGCTCCAAAGGCTAGGGCAAAGTCTCCAGGAAGGCAGCTTTACAAGCTATTTGACTCACCTATACACAATGTTCAGAGAGTGCAGGTAACCCAAGGCACTGGCTATTTCAGCAGCATAGAATCGAGCCCGCGGTTCCAGGAAGCAGCGCTCCCTCTGGAGGTGGTAGAAGAGCTGCAGCGGATGGAACCAAGTTAGTCTGTCTGCAGCCAAAGCACTTAATTAATCCTGACACTTAGCTATGGAGAACAATCACAGGAAGTGTCCTTAACTAATCCATTAACTATCTGAGACCCAGTGGTTTGCAGGTAACTAATTACTGGTAACTTTTTCCTCCTTAACTATTCTTGGAAAGTCTTCTCAAACTAAAACTAAGGCAGGCTGTGCAGAAACCCCAAAATATTGGCTTCTACTTATCCCCAGCTCACCTCTCCACCATTAATGTAGTCTAGGACAAAGTACAGTTTGTCGGCAGTTTGGAAGGAGAAATGAAGGCCCACCAAGAAAGGGTGTTTCACATTCTTCAAGAGAACATTCCGCTCGGACATAATATGCTTCTCCTATGAAAAAAATGCAATGAAGATTCAGTGGCAAATTTCAACTTGACACCAAAAAAGAAAAAGAAATCTCACAGTAAAGGTTATTCTGTGAAACAGGTGATTGTTCTCATACCTCCTTCTTTTTCAGGATCGCCTTCTTCTGCAAAACTTTGACTGCATAGAACACTTCTTCGGCCTTATGCCTTGCTAGAAGAACCTGAAATTTCAATCAAAATGATTACTTTTCTGCCCTCATCCTAGGAGATCGTGCAGCGACCACACACAGGAGTACATAGTAGGAAACGGTTTTGAAATTACCTTGCCAAAGCTGCCCTTTCCAATCACTTTCAAGAAGTGGAAGTCGGATGGTTTGGCATGGGGATTGGATGATGGGCCAAGGTTGATTTGCTGAGAAGGACTTGGCTAGAAAATAAAACGTGTAACCTTTAATATCAGACAGGCATCTACACTAACATCAGACAATGTAAGAGATATTACAGCTATTACCAAACACCTATGCACACTATGATTTTTTTGCTAACTTATGTTACTACTGCAAATGATTATGGAAATTGTGCAAGGAATCATGCTGTGGAATATGCCTTAAAATTACTATACTGAATCAATACCTAAATATGTAAATACTCCACAAATTCATCACCACAGAATACTTACCGGTGGAGAAGGGTTGGCATTCATAAGTTCAGGCTCCTGAGGCTGGGAGATTTTCAAAATGGACTGAACTTCAGGGCTGCAGAAGAAAAAAAAAAAAGAATGAGAAATGCTTCACTTGCCACTAGAGGGCACACTGACACAAACTGAATTTCTGGCTGACCATTCCCGGAGAATACAGTACTCAGACTGTAAACATCCAAATACATGACTTAAAATCAGGTAAAGAAAATGACAACCCAGCTAAACACAGCTGTTATACAGAAATTAGGGTTGTCTGTGCAAGACAATGAACCAGGTAAACACTTAGAAAAATATATCCTGTTCCAGGACAAGCATAACCCAGAAATTCATGTTAACGTCTAAAAATGTTTCAGAAAGATCAGAACATAAAGAGGATGGAGCTCTCCGGCCCTTCTCCCCTTCTCCCTCCCCCCCATGGAAAGTCTCAAGCTCCCAGATCAGCAAAGTGATGTCAATCTTTGCTGCTGATAAATTCAAAGTGTTCTCTTTAAAAAAAAAAAAAACAACAAAACATTCCTTCTAGTAATTTCCCCAACTTACTGTTTGCAAGCATAGGAGTTGTTGGCAATCTTCTGAATAAAGTCGTTCAAGCCCATCCTTCTCTGTTTCATGAAAGCTGCGAATTGAAAAGGAAGGAAAAGGAGAAGTTCTTAGCTGGCTTCGTCACGTCGGCCTCCGCCCAAGGCTGCTCGGATCCCGGACCTTCCCAACAGGTCCCGATCGCCATCCACGAGCAGACACTCGCCGGCGAGAGCCGCTACCACCCGCCTCTACACTCACCGATGAGGATCGCTACCATGCCCCGCATCCTGGAGTAAGTCAGGGTGCCGCGAGCGGCTTCGGTTTTCACCGTCATTGCCCCGGGGAAAGCTGCAGAGACCCGACTGCTGCGAGACTGGCTCAGCCAATACTAAGCTCCCGCGGCTCGGCCGGCTTTATAAAGGCTGCACCGCCGCGGGGGCGGGGCCCGCGCCACAATGAGGGAGATGGAGGCGGAGCCACCGTGCGACCACGCCCCTAGGCCACGCCCCCGGGCTGCCCGCGCTTTGGGCGGCGGCGAGGCTGCGGGTGGTCAAGCCCCAGCCCGAGTGGGAGCGAACCCCCCCCTCCCCTCCGCCCTCCAACTCCGGGACTGAGCTCTTCGCCGGGCGGCAGTCCGTCTGCATCCTGCTCGGACGGGTGCAAAGGAAGCCCAGGCGGAGGGGGCGAGGAGGGAAGGGGAGCTCCGAGTAATTTTCCATCCCTCCCTCCCCTTGATGGTGTTCGGCCGGGAAGCCGGGGCCGCAGCGCGGCGATCGGGGTGGCGTTGTGACCCGCGTGCATCCCCTTCCTCCCCGGCATTCCCGCCTGAGCCGCCCCAGCCCGGGCCCCGCGTGCGACCCCGCCCGGGGGTTATCTCGGGTGCGGGCGGCGCCGGGCGTCCGGGTCTG